CACATATGAATTGATCGACAAAGGAGTTCCAATTTTTCTAGATTCGATTTCCAAATTTGGTAATAATCCTGACTGTAATGTGTACCAATTGTCGATCAATTTCATGGATTTTTTTCGCGTTTGCTTTTAGGAAAGCTTATTAAAAATTTTATTTTTAAATACCTTCCGTTCCTTCTCTCTAATTCTAATTTCATCTGACTCACAAAGTTTAAATAAATAATCTTGTAACTGCTCCAAGGCTAATTTTGTAAACACGACTGCCCATTTATCTTTCTTTTTTTATATTAATTAATAAAAATGACAAACAATAAAAGAGAGAATAAAAAAAGAAATCGTGAACAAATAAATAAAGATTTGCATGCGTAAGTGTTGTTTATCGTAAGAATGGTGGTGGTGGTTATCGCCACCACTCGTCACTCTAGTTGCTATATAATAAAATTAAGAATTCTTTTATTTAATTCTTAGCCATTCCCAAGAATCTCGAGAATCATCTTCATCTTCGTCTTCGTCTTCAATTGTAAGTAGATTATATAAAATTGATCATTTTATTTTAACAAACTCGAAAGTACTGATGTGAATAAAGTAAACTTCAATTAACTTTTCGTTTGCCATCATTGATTTGTTCATTTTACATTTTTATTTACATTTTTCTTCTAAAATATTACAGTCGTTGAAGAGGGGTGAGGAAGAAGACAGAAAAAAGATCAAGATTTCCAGTGATGAAAAAGAGGAGGAGGAAGGAGGAGGAGAAGAAAGTCAGGAGGAGGAAGAGGAAGAAAGCCAGAAAGGAAACCAGGAAGAAGAGGTGGAATTAAGCGAATTCTTTGTGGTAACAGCAGTTGAAGACAACATTTTTGAATCAGTAATAATCAACGATGAAAACGATGATGATGAAGGTGGTGACAATGATAATGATGAAGATCAAGGAAGTGAGCTAAGTGTACTGGTGGATGATGTACAAGAATTACCTGTTCATTGGATCAGAAGGTGGACTAAGCAAGAACTAACAATCCTCTTGGATCACATTTTCAGTAAAAAAATAAATTGCATCAAACTTCAAGAAATGGGTATATTGCGAAAAAATAGAGCCATTTCATTGAAATGGAAATCGATGAAGATACAAATAAAAAAATTATTTGAAGTTGACTTGTAGATACTATTAATTTAATATTAAATTTGCTTGTAAACAATGAAATATTTGACATATTTCTTTAACATTATTTGTATAAATTTAATCTTGTTGAGTTCTTAAAAAAGGACAGCTTTTTTATTTTATCAAATTATAAAGGTAATATAATTAATTATTGTTTATTTTGATTGCGAATTTTCACAATATACTTTTTCATTTTTATCTTAGATTAATTATCAGCAAAATATTTTTTATAATTTTCAATAAAACATAATGAAATTGATCATTTCTTGTAAAGCTTTCTAAATAATTTTATTTTGATTTCAATTAAAAGCAAATCCTTGTATATGAATGAATCTTGGAATGACATATCACACAAATTTTAAGTTTATTTGCACATTTTCACATGCTACTAGATAGTTGCATGGTGAAAAACAATGTATGACTGGTTTAAAGCTCCTCATGAGTAGTGTTTATATTCATTCAAAATTGTTCAGACAATATTCAAATATCATTCATGTGATTGATATTTGAATACCATGAATACAAACACTATAAAAAACAATATTGATCCTTGAAATTCTTGGTAATACCAATGTTCACTTTGTCTGGTTTTGTTGCAGTATGCCCCATATACCTTTTGCCTAATACTAATACAAAATCTAGATATTCCAACCTCTGGTGTCACAAATGTCTATGAATATGGCTCTTACCTTGCTTACATTCTGTTTTATCATATAATTCTTGATTTTTATTGTGAACATTGCTGGTGTCAGTTGTGATGGAAACCTTTTATTAATAAACAGAAGGCCTTTAATATTCTGTGCAAGAGAATAACAAATAGCAATGGTGACAGTACAGTTGTTGCATTTGGTGATGGTAAATTCTCATCAACATCATGTGGGTATGCACCAGGCCCTGTAAAAGAATTTCGCCAGGAGCTTTCTAGACACTGCAGAGTGGTGAACATTGATGAGTTCCGTACTTCCTTAGTCTGTTCTTTGTGTGATGGGTGGTTTGATAAGCATCAAAAATTCTGGTCTGTCAGAGTCTGCAATTCAGTCTGTCTGACAGATTGGAATTGAGATAAGGAACATTTTTTTGCACACAAACACTTATGGAGAGAGACCTGATCCATTTATAAGGGGGACTTACTGACCTCTCTACTGCCATTTTAACTGTGGCAGGATATGTCTAGCTGTAGTAGTAGTGGTTATATCCGTCGGATAGTATCCGTGAATATCCGTGAATATCCGCGACCATCCGGATATCAATTTTATCTCACGGTTGATCGACGGAGAAATATTTGTATTTGTATTTGTGAATATCAGTGATACAAAAAATTTAAAAATAAAAATATTCGTGAAAAAAAAGTTCATTCCTTTAAAAAAAATTTTTAACAATAGTATTAGTGGTGGTATTAATAACGAATAATAATATTATAGTAATAGTAATAGTGGATGGTGTTAATGATAAATGATAATAATAGTGGTGGTATTAATAATAGTAGTAGCATTAATAATAATAGTGGTGGCATTAATAATAAATAATAGTATAATAATTATTATTAAAAATGAGTAATAATATTATTATTATTGAATTAGAGGAAAATCAAGATGAGAACTTTCATGTCAATAACAACCAATTAATTAAAATTAAATTCATTTAATTCATTAATGATTCATTTTTTAAATTAAAATTATAATTAAATTATTTAATATAAATTATTTAGTTATCATCCTATTTCATGTTAGATGAATTAAAATGGGATCAAAGATCCATTTATCTGGTGGAAAAACCAAAAAAATAATTTCCCCACATTAGCTAAAATTGCAAGAAAATATTTATGTGTATCTGCTACTTCTACACTGAGTGAACGATTGTTCAGTGATGCTGGCAATACATTGACAGCTAAAAGAACAAAACTCAATCTAATTCTTTTTGAACAAATAGTTTTTTTAAAAAAAACATGGTTGATGTAGAAAAATTCTTTGATTAATAAATGTATAAAATTATCTTTTATTGTTATAAAATTTTCTTTGATTAATAAATGCATGACGAATAATAATTTTTTATCTGACTACTAGTAAATTCGTTATTATTATATTGAGACATTAATATCGACGGATATTCGGGTATCCGAATATCAAAACTGGCAAACAGATCAAATATTCGGATATCAAGTTATTTGAAAATTGAGTATTCGGATGTCAAAATTATTTGACGATTGAGTATTCGGATATCAAAATTTTGTGAAAGGATGATTGGCGAATATCCGAATATCCGACGGATACTACCACTATCTAGCTGGTGGCAGCAGCAGCAATGATTGATGACTTTCTATGAAGCCACAATTAGCTATAGGGAGGATTTGGATCTTCCTGATTTAGTGTAATAAGGTTTACTTGTTAAATATCAAAACTTTTAATGAGAATCGAATGAATAAACCATGTTTTTAACGTTAGCTTATATAACACTTTACTTTTTTTTCTATACATTGTTTTATTTATCCTTTTTTTATTTATTATGAAATTAAAAAAATATTTACAAATAAAAAAAAAATTCTAAAAAAAAAATACTCTCCCAAAAGGAAAAATTAAAACAATTATGAATTTGAAGTTACTTCAAATTTTCTTCCACCTTTACTTAAAGTGCTAAAACTACGATTTACATTAATATTGTTGTTATTATTATTGGTGGTAGTAGTATTATTGCTGTTGCTATTTACATTATTGGTATTTGCACCATTGTTAATATTGCCAGTATTATTATTATTACAATTATTATAAATATTAATTAAAGTGTCATGTGACTGCGGTGGACTTGAAGTCATACTGAATAGACTATTAATAGTTGAAGCTGGAGAAGTTGCAAAAGTATCAAATAAGTAAGAAGAAGAAGAAGAAGACGAAGAAGACGAAGTTGTTGTGGAAGTGGAGGAAGTCGAAGAATTTGTTAAAGAGATGGCGGCAGTGTTGACGGTGGAAGAAGAATAAAAGTCGACTTCAAATTTTCTACCAGAATGAGAATTTATTGTTCTGTGTAACTCAAATTGAAATGGACCGCCATTTTTTGACGAAGATGAAGCGGAAGAGGTTGATGGAATTGGTGTTTGATTATTATTAGTTGTGGTAGTAGGTGAGATTAGGGCGGAAGAGGTAGAAGTAGTGGTGGTATTTATTGTGGAGATGGGATTTGGTTGTGGATTTCCAGTAATAGTAGAATTAGAAGTTGACGATGAAGGAGGGGTAGAGACAGTTGTAGGTATTATTTTAACATTATTATTAATATTACTATAATTATTTGATTTTATTTGATTTGTAATATTTCTTTGCATTTGTTGTTGTTGTTGTTGTTGTTGTTGTAATTTTTGTTGTTGTTTCTGATTTTGATTTGAAATAGTTTGGGCAGAAGCAGCTGTTGGAGTATTTTTATTATGGTCTTTATTCCTATTATTTATATTATATACATCACCATTGTTGTTGTTGTTGTTGTTGTTAATATTGAAATGGTTGTTTTTGATTGAGGGTAAAGAATGTCTTGTCGCAGAATTTGGGAAAGAAGTTGTTTGTACGTATAAACTATTTGAAGAGATTGCCGTTGAATTTGAGGAATTTGAATTATTTAAAAATGGATTAATTATATTGATTTGATTATCGTAATATGATGATATCGGATTTGATAAATAATTACTAAGATTATTGTAATTATTATTATTGTTGTTGATGTAACCGTTGTTATTAATATTGTAATTGTAATTTTTATTATTGTTTATGACATTTGAATTTAATTTTGGAGGAGGGGTTGGATGCCTTCCACCTTCCAATGAGTAAGGACAAGGTTTTTGTATACAATGACATTGATCAAATTTTGTAGTATCGTAATCTTCACGTTCACGCACAATAGTAAATCTACCAACTTTGCCTAATACTTCAACTTCATTACTAAAACGACGTGGAAGTTGTGCGTATACTTCAAATATTGTTGATGTAGACGGTGATGACGATAATGACGTGGATGTAGATGTGGTATTTATTGAAGTTATTGAAGGAATTGAAGAAACTTCATCATTATCGACATTTGGTGGATGATTTAGTTCTTTAATTATAAAGAGTTTTTTGTCAACTTCCTCTGTATTACTTTCTTTATTATTATTATTATTATTATTATTATTACTATTATTATTACTATTTTTTTCACTTTCTTTTAATTTTTCATTTTTCTCTTGATCCTTTGTTTGTTGGATACTTTCTTTACTATCATTATTAATAATTTCTTGATTTTTAATGATATTAGTATTAATATCTTTATCAACATCAACATTACTATTATTTAATTGATTATTTCTTCTATTATTAATAATATTATCATCATCATCATCACTATTATCATTAACATCATCATTCCATTTGAAAAATGTATGATGAATTTTAACAAAAAATAATTTATACCAAGAAACTTTCTTTGAATTATTTTGATTATTTTGATTATTTTTGAAATGTTTTACATCTAATGATTTTACTCTTCTTTCTAAAGGAATAGTAAATTTGTCATTCTTATTATTATTAGCCATGATAAATTTTTTGTTATTATTCTTACTATTATTATTATTATTATTATTATTATTATTATTATTATTTTTGTTAAAACGATATGCTACGGTATTACTTAAAGCAACGGTTGGAGTGCTTTTATTTAATCCGAGTACACCAGATTTATTATTATGGAATACAATTAATAAAAATGAAGTATTGTTCTTATTATTATTGTTGTTGTTGTTATTATTAATATTGCTGCTAGCGGTGTTAATAATTTTTAAACTCATTGATGATGGATGATGAAATGTTGATTAAGATGATGACGTTACTACTAATGATTATTAATATATATAATGTGTGCGTGTATGTGTATGTATGTATATATACTGATACAAATAAAATTTAAAAAAATCCCTGTTTCGTTCAACGAACAAAAAAAAAATTAGTTTACTATATATTAATATTTCTAAAAAATATCGAGATTTGTTTTTTTTTAAAAAAAAAACAAGATTAAAACTCCATGTTGTTATTTTTATTTTTTTTTGATAAAATTCTTTGATTTTGATTTTGTTTTGAAATAAAATTTTTTAAAAAAAAAAATCAAAAAACTTTAAATTTTGTTGCTAGTAATAATTATTATCACTATTTGCTGCTATATAAATATATAAAATTATATATTTAATAATTAAAAAAATATTTAATTTTTTTAATTATAAGGAGGAAAAAAATAAAAAAGTGGGCGAAACTCTAAGCTGGGGTCTTTTTAAACTGTTATTTCAGATGATAAATTAGGTTTTGTATATAAAAAGAATTGTCTATATTTGATTAGAATAAAATATGAAATTATACTGAATATATAAAAAGAGAAGAAGATCACTCAAAGTCCGAATGACGAAATTATCATTAATATTAATAATTATTAAAAAAAGTAGCTAGCAGAAGTCAAACATATGGAATGAATGTTGTTATGTATTATTTTCAATTAAAAAAGTTTTAAAAAATAAAAAACAAAATCGAAAAATAAAATTATTTTGTATTTTCTTGAATTTTTTATTTCCTTTTATCCATATTTGTGATTGGTTATTAATAATTGTGGAACTGAAGTTAATAATACACAGTATTCTTCCTTTTAATTTATATTATTTAAAATTCCAAGTTTCTTAATTGGGAAATATTGTTTATTTATATAATAAATTGTGATTTTATAATCAATCTGATAATAAAAACCTGCCTCAAAAAATTAATATATTCTTCCAAAACTTTTCCCCAGATCTTTTTATTAAACAATTTTTCTTTGGCTTGTTTATGTGCATCGGCTGTACTTTCTATTCCAAATTTGTGGTCATTTCTATTTAAGGCACAGTATATATATGTGTATATATCCACACATAATGGATTCTATGTGTAATTATGATATGCTCACGATGACGTTTTCAATTGGTGCGGCTTGTTACTTGATAAGAAGGTCAAGGGATATCCTTCAGGAATTCTTCACAAGGACGAAAAACTATCTTTTTGTAATCATTAAAATAAATAAACAAATACATTCATGCACCTCAGTCGCATTTCTTTAAAGTGATAATACACTTGTACAAAAGCTAGTTTTAATTTGCGGTAAAGTTTTCCGATGATCTTTTTATTTTTATCCACTCCATATTTAGAAAAATTTTCCGTGCTCTAGTTATACATGTTTTTTTTTTTGTAAAGAACACCATGTTCAATTTCAATTACCAGGAAAATTTGGTTCAGGGTCATATATCATTTTAGATAAAAGAATTCCATATTGAATTTTATTTTGGTTACAATTACGATTATTACTGAAAGTGAAAAATTTTTCGTTGATCCAACTGTTAATGATCGACAAAAAATTTTTTTTGCCATAGATGAACACGCAATAGCAGGTGATGACGATAAATTAAATAAACAAACATACGTATTCTCCTCAATAATTCCATATTAATATTAATATACTGCGAAATCCAAGGCTTCAATACATGCTTCGAAAATTATTATTTCTGGAACTGCAACGCAAATGCACTCATCTTTATATAGTGATAATAATTTATATGAAGATATATATTAATTCATTCATTTTAAATATTCTACATATTTAAATTTACTCTTCACATTACTTTCCATATAGTTATCTTACTAAACCATCAATTTAACGCTTGATTCAGGCATGGTAATTAAAAATGGATTGAGGCAAGTCAACTCATTTCCTGCTACAGTCAAATTCATAGATGAATTATGGATGCAGATATATATGAGAATCAGGAAATGACATCAAAGATGCTTTTCTATAAAAGGATAGAGTTTCGATAAAAATTTTAATGGTTACACGATATATGTCAAGATTTCACACAAAAAGCCAGAGGCATTGGTTCCATGAATTTAGGCAATTATGAATTTATAACTGTGTCGGAAAAAGTAAATTTAATTGTACAAGGCCACTCATCGCTTGAAATTTTGTTAAAAATATTTGTGAAAATGTGTGAATTTGTATAATAAAATATTGTGTAGTAATTATTTATCAAACGAGATTGGATCAAGCCCATTGTATTATATATACATATAATCCATTAAAAGAAAAAATTTATTATAATAATAAAGAAAAAAAAACTATTTTATTTTAAACTAACAAAATGTGAAAAATTTTGTTTTGAATGAATAGTTAGTTTTATGAAACAACGGATAATAATTAATTAATTAATTAAGATCGTGAAACCCAATTAGTATTTTCAGTTTTCCCAAAAAGTAAAGTGAGTTCTGGGACCTAATAACGCAATTGTTGTTACACGACATAAAATTTTTTTCTTTGCACACTTGGTTAGTTTATAATTTTAAGTGAAATCTCGATATAACGGATAATTTGAAAATTTCCAAAGTCTGTTATATCGAGAAAAATTTATAAGTTATTACACTGTTCTTGGACCTCAAATCAAGACTTTTAATAAAAATACATTAAATCAAGGTTCGCTAATCGAGATTTACTGTAGTAGAACTTTCGTACTAGAGAATCATACATGTAAATCGAAAGCACGAACAACAAATAGGTATTAAAAAAAAAAGGAAGAGCAATCAATTATCAAGTAAACCAATACAATGAATAAGGAAGAGTGCAGACATATGCCGAACTAAAATAACTCATAGTTACGATACGGCTATGTCGTCACTATGCATTGTATTGCACTTTGCGTAATACAATGATAAATTATTTATATTAAAAAGGTCTAGATTTTAAAATTTTTGGACTGACGTTTATTTATTAATCTTTTACTGTCTTTATGGTAAAGTAATATTATTATAGAATGAATATTTCTATGGTGCACGTTTTCTAATAAAGAATAGCATATGCGTAACGTTTGTGTGCATCATAATAAATTTATTCATTACCAGTAATATAGTGCTCACTATTTACTCCGCATTCAGCCAACAAAATGAAATCGTAGCTTTGTGGAGAAAGGTCTTAGCTTCAAAATCATGTTTTGTTTTTTTGGTGTTACATTT